AAAGAAAGAAAGAAAGAAAGAAAGAAAGAAAGAAAGAAAGAAAGAAAAAGAAAGAAAGAAAGAACTCTGACTTTCTTCTACAAACTCTAGTTCTTGCCTGGTTAAACCTGTGATGCATCCAGACTCGTTCTCTGGTCCTAGTGCCAATTGACTATCCTGGCCCACTGTCAACCATAGCCAGGTATGCCACAGACCTAGCTGAGGACTGTATATTGAGGAGGTTTTGAAGGGCAGAGATGATTTATTTTGAGAGACTATAAATTGTGAGTTCCTTAAGGGCAGGGGCCGTCTTTTGCCTCTCTTTGTATCCCCACCACTTAGCACAATGCATGGCATGGAGCTTAATAAATGTTGGTGACTATTAATGAGAGCTTCTATTCAGGGCTAAGAGTTGGGGATACATACATACATATACACATATGCGTATATGTGTGTGTGTGTGTGTATTACATATATATATAAAATAATAGTTCATGGTTTCTTATACATGCCTCTTTCCTGTCCTCTGAATATTAAATGTTTCTGTTTGTTTAGTTCATAATAAAAAAGGTTTCCAAAAGCATTAAATTTGAAACATGGGATACTACCAGAGGAGGGTGCCACAGCCAGGGGCAGCATGAAGGCACTGAGGGATACTGAGTAAGGAGAAGAGAAAGGTACCAAAGAAAATTTTCATCTTCTTTGCATTTTTGTCAAAGGCTGGCTCTGGAAGGATCAATTCTGCTCCCACACATGCTAGTCATGCATGTATGTGTTTATACGAATCTATGTTTCTTTTAGTAAAAGGTATTAGAAGAAGGTCAGGTTTGATTTTGTTGATATTAATTTATTCATGTATAACTTTTCCCCCTGAAACACTCAAAATGTAATACAGATACGCTCTCCCTAGCATTGTCACAGGCACTTCTTGGTAATCACATTAACAGGCTGTTAAGAACACTTGGCATATTCTGAATGTCAGACAAAGAGGTCAGGATCTGACCTCACCTCGAGCCTTTACTAAGGCCCGTTAACTGTCCCCAGAAATTAGTGTGGGCATCCGTTGCCATGCCACAAACTACAATCATAAAAAGAGTGGTTTCCTTGCAAAAATATAAACTGAATTTGAAAGACGGATTTTGAAGGAGGCGGCAGGTTTGGGAGCTTTTTGTTGCTAAGGTAAAATCACATCCTGGGGGGAAAAATACAACACTTAAACATCTTCTCTGCCTACAACAAAGCGTACAAGAGTAACAATCGATTGTACAATTGATTTTAACAGCTCAGTGACAACTAGTGGTGACAGTCTAGCCTAACAACTGTCTTCTGTCTTAGACTTCATCTGACAGCATTATGCTGCAGCTCAAAACATTTCCTGATAGATTTTTCTCTAGGGCTCTAAAAATATTCAGCTGAATTAATCTATATGTTCACATGCTCATCTTGTGACCTCACAGACAGATTGATTTATTGATAATGTCCCATTGGGATGCAGGAATGATTATTAACCCTTTGATTGCTGTCTATCCTAGGGAAAGTCTGGCTCAGAAGAAAACCCTTTAGCCTTGAGGACTATGCAGTTCACTCCACTGCAGATAACAGTCATCAAGGAAGGGGTTCCTTAGATCACAGAACTCAAGATTAGGCTTAGAGGTTATCTAGGCCAACCTCCTTATTTTGCAGAAGAGGAAAGTAAGGCCAAGCAACTTTAAGTGACTTGCCCAAGTTTACACAGGTAGCAAGTGGTAAAGCTAGCATTTGACTCCAAATATTGATGCCAAATTTGGTACTTTTTCAATTGTACCTACTCTTTTCTGTGAAAAATAAATCATTTTAATATATTTCAATATGCTTCTATGAAAGGCAGCATGTCATGGTGGATAGAGAGGTGTCCTCAGAGTCAAGAAAATCTGGTGTTAGGTCTTGCTTCTCACACATATCGGCTTTGTGACCCTGATGGTCTTTAAACCACTAAGGGCTCCAGGAAATTCTCTAAGGCTATAAGCAAAACAGTGCATAGATACATTAGTAAGAGAAGTTTTTTTGTAGAGATCTCCCTATACCAATGAAATCACAGGTTCACACCCCCCTTAACCCCCCCCCCCCAAAAATGTTTCGATATGTTGTCATACCAAGAATGATGTTACACTGTCAGCAGTCAAAAAGCATTTATTAATGACTGCTATATGTCAGGGACTTTGCTAAACACTAGAAATATGAATATAAGAAAAAAGACAATTCCTGTCCTCAGGGGGATTACATTCATATGGGGAATCCAACACACAAAATAAAGCTTAAAGTGGGAAAGAGAAGGTACCCCATAGCACAGCATAATGTAGAAGCCCAGAGGAATATAGACCAGTGGGAAATGAAGACACGGTTGGCCTGGGAGCCCACCTTAAATAGAGGTTCTTGGAAGAGTCCTCCACCATCCAATCAGAGGGCAGAGGATACTTCTGAAGTGTGAGTTCCAGGGATTAGTGTTCTTCGAGGATGAAGAGCTTTCCTGGGCATGATGGAAAAATCCAGAAGAGTAATATGCTAATTAGAATAGTCTAATTGCCACCGACTGGCACCATACATCTCTTTAATTCTAAAAAATGTTAATAAAAAAATTCAGCGAGATCTAGACATGTTCAAAGTACTCAGTAATTTGAAGGATTTTAAATTGTATGCCTACATACTGAAGAACAGGGTGATAAAGAATGACTGCTTGCATAGATAATGATATGTGGTTGCATGGAATATATCCATCAGTCTACATATCTGGGATACATACTACAAAAGGACATGGAGCTGGGCCCAGAGAACAGGCTATGCCACTGAAAAATTGCAAAGGCCTTTTAATGACCTCCAGATTTCTCATGAAACAAAGGTCAGTCTTAATACCATTATTCTTCTGATGATGTTAGAAGGCTGCCAGAAATAGAATATTACACTGTCTGAAGAAATGAATCTGAGAACCACAAAAGTTCAGTGGAGACATACAAGAGTGAAATAAACAAGGGAACAAGGAATTATGCAGAAGTGTCAAAAACCTCATCAGAGAGATGCATGATAGGGGGAAAAAAAGATGAATTGGTCATATAGGAAAAGTGAGAGACAACTTAAGGACAGGCCAGGCACGTGGCTTTCAACCTCAAAATATCAAAATAACAAAAGAAAGGTCTCTAGTACATCAGGTAGGATCCCTTCCTCCCCTCCCCTGCCACGGGAGTACTAATGGGAGCATATGGCTGATAATTGCACAGTACGTGCAGGCATGGATGACTTCTAAGTTGTATTGTTGGAGAAAATACTCACATCAATGAAATCATAGAGTCATTGGAGTGTCAGATCTCAAACAAGAGAAAACCAGTCTTCTCTTAAACTCAGGTAAATAAAAACTAAGAATATGTGATTATACAAACCTTATGAGAAGGTCACAGGTGGATATGATGAACTTGGAAAACCAATTTGGAACAATAAATTGATCAGGAGTTAATTTCATCAGAGTTTTAACCATGAAATGAGAATACAAAATGCACAATAAAATTATGTAGCTAAATATAAAATTAGATTTCTACCACCTGAAATTTGCTTAATTCATGAAGCACACATTTTCAGGGGTTTCCTTAAAACATTTAGCAGAGAGGCAACCATCAGAATCATTACCTTCAGTACTCATGTCTGGTGTAGGCATCCATACATAGACCATTCCTTCTTCTTTATAAAGCTTGATCATGGTCTCTGGGGTCATGGGCTCTGGGTAGCGGTTGCAACCTGATGAATTCTGTATAATATCCCATTCAGTCTGAAAGTTCATTACTGCTGTCACTCCTAATTCATGCTTCAGTTTGATAGTTACATGCTCCAACTGTCGAGGGCAGCTTCCTAGCCAGATATTTGGGAGAATTCTAGGATTTAAAAGTAGAGATAGGTATCATCATGATTTAATGTAAAAAGGGACACACCAAACATTACATTAAAACTTCAGTTAACAAGAATGCCCAGACAATGAATCATTCAGGTTTCTGATTAAAGGGAACCCTCTGCTTCAGTTAAGTAAATTGCCTCACCGACTTTCCCTACATTTTCTAACAATTATACTATGTTTATTTCCATTTGTGTGTGTGTATTTTTTTCATACAGTTCTTGACAATGTTACCATAACTCCTTAATAATAATTTCATCTTTTAAAATGTGGAGGAACCAAAAAAAGGAAATTCTATTCTAGATTAGATATTCACTTAGCAGAGAGGAACCGGTTAATGGAGTAGAAACAATGAGAACATTGGGGAAAGTAACCACTTTTCTCCTAGAGTGTATGACAAAAGAAATGAAAGCTGGGCAGAGTCTGACATGCACACTATATTTCCAGAGAGCAGATTTTAAAGGCTAAAGAGAAAAGGCAGGTCATATTCCATGGACCAAAATTCTACAGGGCAAATAAGGCCCAGAAGGATATGAAATTCTCAAAAATGAAATTCTGAAGACACAAAGTGAAACAATTTCAATGAACATGAAAATTACAAGGTGTTCAAGAGCTCAATGAAGATGAACAGAAATCACACCAACAAATTTGTATTTTTACAACATATTTATAGAAGATGGAAATAAGGGTGGGTAACAGAGGATGAATACAAAGGCATGCCATCATTGTAAGAATAATGTCCAAGGACCTAAACTTCAGAATGTGCTGAGGTTGACAAGGAAAACTTTAAAAAAAACTAAAAAAAATTATTATCATTAGCTACACTGAGGAAAACAGGATGATCACAGTAGTGATAGGACAACTTCTTAAGGTAGATGGAATGACAGGTGCAGTAGATAGAGGGCCAGGCCTAGTGTCAGGAAAATCTGAGTTCAAATCCAACCTCTGACACTTAACAGCTCCATGACCCCTGGCAAGTCACTTAAATTCTGTTTTCCTCAGTTTCCTTATCTGTAAAATGAGGATAATAATAGCACCTACTTCCTACAGTTGTTATGAGGATAAAATGCCATAACCATAAAGTGTTTAGCACTGGCACATAGTAAATGCCTGGCACATAGTAAACATGATATAGTTGCTAGTTTTTATCATTATTATTGTTATTATTATTATCTAACAATAGAGAGAAGGCGTAGCTGCCCAAATTTTTTTCTTACTTTATCTCTGCCAAAGAGAATAACTTTTGAGCCAGAAAGGACAGAATAAAAATGGCTAATAGGGAATTAACCACCAAGTTAAATATGAGCACTTAGCTGCATAAATTCAAGTTGCTGGAATCAGATAAGGTAGGCCCATCCTTAGATATTGAAAAAAGTAGTAGATAAGATTGCTGAGCTATTTTACTGAATGTAAAGTTTAAAGATCATGGAGAAAAGAAGTAGCATAGGCATAGAGAGTGTTATCCTGACATTTTTTTTTAAACAAAAAAAAAGAGATTACAAATTACAGGCCAATGGCCTTAGCTTCAATTCCTGGGAAGAGTCTATAATGAACTAAATAAAACTTAACTGGTGAACATCTCAAAAGAAAATGCTGATCATGAAAAAGTATCACAGCCTCAGCAAGAATAAGTCATACCAGATCACCCTTTTTTTTCTTTTTTTAACAATTACCAAACTAATACATTAGAAGGATACTAAATGTAAAGTTTACTTAGATTTCAACAATGTATTTGATCAAGCATCTTATAATATTCTTATGAGATATATTCTTTATAATATTCTTATAAAAAAGACTGGGAACTATGGGCTAGATAACAGAGAAAACAGATGGATTTAGAAATGACTGAAAAGATGAACTCAAAGAATCATTAATGATTCAATGTCTTTATGGGAGATGGTGGTCAATGAAGTGCCCTCAGAGATTTGTGCTTTGTCTTATAAAGTTCAATGGTTTTACCAAGGATTTGGATAAAGGAATTTATGACATTCTTATCAAATCTACAGAAAGTGAAAAGTGAGGAGAGATAGCTAACATAATGGATGACAGAGTAAGGATACAAAAAGATCGTCAAAGACAAAACATGAGCCTGACTCTAATAAGATGAAATGTATTTAAGAAAGATAAGTGTAGTCTGACACTTAGGCTTTTTAAAAAATCTACTTTTTAAGTACAAGATGGGAGGGGTGTGGTTAGATAGCAGTTTATATTACAAGACCTAGGGATTTTAATGAATATTAAACTCAACATGATATGGCAGCCCAAAATACTAATGGCATGTTGGGCTATATGGAGAGAAAAAGGTTTTGGAAATAAAGAAATAAGATCCCATTGAATTCTGCCCTGGAATACAACATATGGGATATTGTGTTTAGTTCTAAGAATCATAGTTTAAAGAAGAGCACTGATAACATGGAGAATACTCTAAAGATGGCAACCAGGATGGTGAAGGTTTTTAAGTTAATGACAAATAAATAACAAATAATAGAAATGGTAATGTTTCACTTGGAGAATGGAAGACTCAGAGGGATGAGTTTGTATATGGCAGCTGTCTTTAAGCATCTGAAGGGTTATTATGTGGAAGAGGGTTAGTCTTGTTCTGCTCTCCCACCCTCAAGGGGCAGAACTAAGAGCAATATATGGAAGTCACCAAAAAAAAAAAGGCTAATTGAGGCTAACAGAAAAAAAATTTCTAACACTAGTTATCTATAAGTGGAATAGCCTTCCTTGAGAGTTTTCATCTTCAAGCAGATGCTTGAACCTACTCATTTTATAGTTGGGGAAAGTGAAACTCAGAAAAGTTAAATGGCTTACCCATAGTATACTCAGGTCTTCTGATTCCAAATTCAGCATTCCTTCTACTGTACCATACTGCTTGTTAGGTATGTTGTAATGGAAAGTCTTTTTTTGGGTACAGACTGAATCAAATGATTACTGAGGTTTGTGATTTTATGATTCTAAGATTTTGGTACATTCATATCCTATCCATTTATTAAGGCCTAGTTTTAAGTTCTACCAGTTCTCTGTAAAGGCTTCCTTGATTATTCTCTCACTGATTTATCCATTCTGCAAACCCATTTGAATTTATTGTCCATTTTGTATCATACAATTTAGTACAGAGGTCTCACAAATAAAATCTTTTGGAAGAAAGAGTGGTTTATGTGGAAAATGGGGCTATGTGAAGAAAAGAAAGCATGATGGACAGTTTTATTTTAGCCTAATAACTGGATCCATTTATATATTTATTTTGAAAAACACTGGCAGACTAAAAGGAAGTAGCTTCCCCTACAAGAAAGATCAAAGATAAGGACCAAAAGGAGTAATGACTGAAAAATCTAAAAGGAAACCACAATGGGTCATCTTTCAAGACTAAGATCACAAATGGGACCCACAGGCAAGGGACTAGGGGTCCCTAGGACTCTAAACAGGGCTGGGCTATCAGTAAAGGCTCACCCAGAATGGGCTAGGATTGCAGGCTCAGCCCCATAGGGTGCAAAAAGAGCTTGGTCAACAGTGCAGGATTGCTGAGAATAGATGGAGGAATCAGCCCTAGGCCCAGGACAGAACCAGGCCAGCAACATAAAGATATCCAAAATGAATCTCAAATCAGGCCCAGTCCCTAAACAAGGCTAGGATAAGAGTATTGTGGCTTTCAACCTGCTAAGCCTTCCAGCTAGCTGACAGAGGTTGAGGACAACTATATACTTAAATATATAGGCAAGTCTGAACCTGTGTTTCCTAAACCCAAACTGAGGCCTGGACTTGGAAAGCACAGGAAGATAGCAATCTGACCATGCCCTTGATCTGATAGTATCGGGCTCACTAAAAGTACTGAAAGTACCTCCTTGCCTGAAGGTGTCCCTAAAATCCTCAAAGAACTCAGTACTGAGTATCTGAAGAACATCAAGACTAGAACTCAGGTAAGACAGGCCAGGACCATACTAGGTCAGAATAATCCCACCAGAAGTTTGCAGTGCCTAGCCCTAATAACAAATGCTAATCTTGGAAGTAAGGCTGGAAGAGTGAGAAAACAAATTGGGAGAGAGAGATGGAGAACCATTATAATGCCCAGGAATGACCAGAGCAAAAATCCAGAGCATCAATGAGCAAAAACCTCAAAAGAAAACACAGCTTGCCCATATGATTAACTAGAATTCCTACAAGAAATGAAGTAACAGTTTTTAATAGCTTAAAATAAACATTATAAATTAATGAAAGTGATAGGGGGAAAGAATTAGAAAAGAAATAAGAGCTTTGGAGGAAAGACTTGAAAGAGAATTAAAAGCTTATCACAATAGGTACAAAATCTTACTTAAGTAACAGACTCTGAAAATTAGAATGGACCAAAAAGAAGTTATTGATTCCGTGAGACAACAAGAAATAGCAAAACAAAGTCAAAAGATTGAAAAAAAAAGAACAGGTAAGGTATCTCATAACAGAAACAATTGACCTGGAAAAGAGACCCAAAGAGAGCTAATTTAAGAATGACTGGACTACTTAAAAACTACAACCAAAAGAAAAAAAAAGTCTGTATATCACATTTCAAGAAATCAAAGGTGAAAATTGGCCACACAAACAACACTAATGCAGTCAAAATTAGAAGGAAAATAGAAAATGGGGGGAAAAATTACAGCAAGTTTCCCTGATAAAGGCCTCATTTCTCAAGTATACAGGAACTGAGCCAAACTTATAAAAATAATAGCCATTCCCCAGTTGATAAATGGTCAAAGGATATAACAGGCAGTTTTCAGAAAAAGAAATCAAAGCTATTTATAGTCACATGAAAAAATGCTCTAAATTACTATTGACTAGAAAAATGAAAATTAAAACTCTGAAGTACACCTCACACCTTGTCAGATTAGCTAACACAACAGAAAAGGAATATTACAAATGCTGGAGGGGATGTGGAAAAGTTGGGACACTAATGCACTATGTACTGATCCAACAATTGTGGAGAACAATTCAGAACTATGCCCAAAGGAC